CCGACCCCACCCCCCTCTCTTTCACCCACTTCGCTTCCTGTCAACTTACTGTCCTATCTAAATAAAAGGCATAAAACGCCAAAAATAAAAAACTTTAAAAAAAAAAAAACGTAGTGAGCTGTCTATTTAGATTTTTGAGCATTAGAAGTGTGCCATTTTTTGGGTAAATTAAACGTAAAATGTGCATAAATGTACATAAACATTTTTGGCCATTTTAGTTCAAATGCAACTATAATCCAAAAGTCTTTAAACATAAATTAAATCTTTAAAGGTTTTTGGATTATAGTTGCATTTGAACTAAAATGGCCAAAAATGTTTGCACTGCAACACGTTGATTCCAAAACCAAACATTCAGATGTGCCCAAAAACTTTCAAATCAAGGCTTGAAATGCATCTATTACGGCCAAAACATTCCATTCAAACTGTCAGACATGCCTGTGATGGCCAAAAATGATTACATTGAGAGTTTGACTGTGCCTACCATGGCCAAAAGCATTTGAATGTCCAAAAATGTTCAGATCAGATGTGCCCACGATGGCCAAAAAATGTCTGAATGCACCCATGCTGGCCCAAAATGATTAAATCAGATGTTTATATGTGCCTGTAATGGACAAAAATGATTGAATTGAATGTTGGAATGTTGCTATGATGCACCTGTGATTGCCAGAAATGTTCAAACCAGGTGTTCAATATGATGCCCAAAAATGATTGAAATGAACATTTGAATGTTGTTGTAATTGCCAGAAATGCTTGAATGTACCTATGATGGCCAGAAACCTTTGAATCGGGAGTGTTTGAATGTACCTACAATGACCAGAACGTTTTGCATGCACTTGCAATGGCCAAAAATGTTAAAATCAGATGTTCTTCCATGTCTATAATGGCCCAAAATTATTAAATGTAATATTTAAAATGTACCTACGATGGTCAAAAATGTCAGATTATGTGCATATGATAGTTTAAAATGATTGAATTTAATGTTTGAATATGGTTACAATGGCCAAAAATGTTTGCATGTACCTTTGATGGCCAGAAACAAACAAATTAGATTTTCATACATGCCTATAATGGCCAAAATGATTGATTTGAATATTTTAAAGGTGCCTGCAATGGCCAAAAAAATTTCAAATCAGATGTTCAGATGTGCATATGATGACTAAATATGATCTAATTTAATGTTGAAATGGCCAAAAAAAAAAATGTAATGCACATTTGCTCAAATTGATGGGTCAAATATTTGTGCATGCATATAAAATGTATATATTATGGCCAGAAATGTTTAAATTGAGCATTTGAATGTGCTGTCAGGTGGGGGCTTGTTTTGCCAAAGTTGATCAGTTCAGATCATTCATATGTGCCTGTAATGGTCAAAAATGACTGAATTAAATGTTAGAATGTACCTGCGATGGCCAGAAATGTTCAAATCAAGTATTCAAATATGCCTTCAAAGGTCAAAAACTGTTTGTTAATTGACAATTACTCCTGCAGATCTCAGTGTTTAAAAAACATTTTCATTTCGCTCTGAAAACATGAGCAAAGAAGAGCTCTTGACTCTTAACAGCACAAGCCAACCTGAATTTGAAGCCTGAAGCTGATCTGAGCTCTGTAATGAGTGTGTTTGTGCCTGCAGGCCGTGTACTCGGTGTCCGTGTCTGAAGACGTCGCCATAAATAAGCAAATCCTCCGGGTCAAAGCTACAGACGCTGACGCGGGTGCAAACGCGCAGATCCAGTTCTCCCTGTTCGGTTCTGGAGCAGAAGACTTCATCATACACCCACACACAGGTTTGTGAATCCGGTTTGAAGAAACGTCCTGTTTATGATGCTGCTGTTTGCTTATAAGTCTCTTTTTTTTTTTTTTTCATTGTGTAGGCGAGCTGAAGACAGCCGCGGCGCTGGACCGTGAAAAGGTCGCACAGTACTCTCTGGTTGCCCGTGCGACGGACGGCGGCGGTTTGTGGTGTGAGGCTGAGGTTGTGGTGGTTCTCTTGGACGTGAATGACAGTCCGCCGATGTTTAGCATGCCCCATTACACTGCTAGCGTCTACGAGAACACCGCCACTAAAGCTCTGCTGACCCGAATACAAGCCATAGACCCTGATCTGGGTACGAGCATGTCATTTTGATGCGTTTGAGCTGTGACAGCATGAAAAGTGTACAATTTTAGTTAATGGTAGTTTGTAAAAGAAAGTTAACTAGCTTAGAACTGCTTGTGTACAGTTAAAACTGAATGGATTTCGCATGTGTTTTATTTTGCAGGTGTTAATCGTAAAGTGGTCTATTCCCTTGTTGATTCGGCTGATGGGTTCTTCTCCATTGATAAATCATCCGGGATTGTTGTTTTGGAGCATCTGCTGGACCGCGAGGTTCAGTCCTCATACCATATAATGGTCCGTGCGTCAGATCAAGGTGTCCCCGTTCACCTCTCTTCCCTTGCGAACATAACGATCACAGTTTTGGACATTAATGACAATCCGCCCGTATTTGAGAGGAGGGACTATCTGGCCACGCTTCCTGAAGATGTGGCAGTGGGTACGGAAGTGGTACAGGTTTACGCTGCAAGTAAAGACATTGGCACCAACGCTGATATTTACTACAACATCCGATCCGGAAACCAACAGGGCCATTTCACCATTAACATCAACACAGGTGATATGCACTTAGATTATTATTTACGCTATACAGAAATGTTAAAACGAGATGATAAATATATAACGTAATATACACACAATTTGGAATAAAGATTTTTTTCATGTTTATATATATATATATATATATAATGCCCAGAAATGTTTAAACCAGACATTCAGAAATGACAAAAAATGTTTGAATGGACCTATGACAGCCCAAAATGATTAAATCAGACATTCATACATGCTTATAAAGGGCATTTAATTGTCTAATTCAATATGCCTACCAAGGTCTAAAATTTTTGAGCACACCTACTATGGCCCAAAACCTGTTCATACGTGCCTATAGTGGCTAAAAATTATCAAATTGAACATCTGAATGTTCTTAAAATCCACCTCTGATAGCCAAAAACGTTCAAATCAGATGTTCATACATGCCTCTAATGGGCAAAATTGATTGAATTTAGTGTTTAAATTGCCTACAATGACCAAAATTTTTGAAATGCACCTGTTATGGCCTAAAACAATGAACTCAGGTGCTTAAATATCAAATTAAACATTTGAATGTTCCTATAATGCTTTAATGTTCCAAAAATGTTGTATGCACCTTTGATGGCCAAAACGTATCAAAAAAAAAATAATTTGTACTGAACATTTGAATGTGCCTTCTAGTATTGGGGAAAGTTACTTTTAAAAGTAATCCATTACAATATTGCATTACTCCATAAAAAGTAACT